ATTACTTATGAAGAGAGGATGAGGGAACTTGACTTATTTAGTCTAGAGAAGAGGAGACAGAGGGGAATTTAATAGCAGCCTTCAACTACCTGAAGGGGGTGTTGAAAGAAGATGGAGGTAGACTGTTCTCAGTGGTGGCAGATGACAGACCAAGGAGCAAGCAAGGGAAGTTTAGGTTAGATATTAGGAAAAATTCTCTCACCGGAAGGGTAGTAAAACACTAGAACAGGTTAGCGAGAGAGGTGGTAGAAACTGCATCCTTGGAGGTTTTCAAAACCTGGCTAGATAAAGCTTTGGCTGGGATGATCTAGCTGGGGATGGTCCTGCTTTGAGCAGGGGATTGAACTAGAAGATCTCCTGAGTTCCCTTCCAACGCTAACTTTCTATGATTCTATATTGCTTCCCCACTCAGCACAAGGAGCTCCTTCAGCAAGCACAACCAAAGTCAGTCTGTAATTCTCCATGCTGCTTCTCTCTGCTCCAAGTAGTGAACTCCTGCCTCCAGCTCTACTCACATCAGACTGCCCCTCTGCCTCTGGTGCAGGGCTTATATAGCTCCTGGCTCCTGAGCCAAGGACATCTCAGCAGGTCATTACCTAATTAGCTGCCAACTGCTTATCACCTTGGGCTCTGCAGGTTTCTAACTCCACTGCCTAGCTTTACCCTCAGTAACAGGGCTTGGCCCTGTGACACCTGGAATAGGGTAGGTATTTAACACCATGAAGAAACAATAATATTAAATAATTTAAAGAGAAAAATGAAGAAAAAAGCATAACATCAATTTGAAGTTACCAAAGGATTTTAGATTGGCAGAACTAAACTCAGCTTCTGAAATTTCATGTTAGAATTTGGTCAAATGCCAAAATACTTAACAATCACAATCTCTATTTTAATTGTCATCTTAAAGACAGTGGGGGCTTTATTGACTATTGATTGAAACCCTCTGTGGTTATGTACACTAGTACAAAGTCTGCCTAAATTGCTAATATTTTGAGTAACATTCTATATCTACTTTGCCATGATTAACTAAGGTGCACAGGAATAGAAAATTAAGTCCAGTTTCTCCAGCATCATCCTGCACCTTGATAATCAAGAGGCAGTAGTTAGTATAGATACAAAGGAAAGATGAGCACAGAACAATAAATGAGCACTACTTTCTGCAACAGTGAAAGATCTCCAGCTACTTAGGAAACTGGCCTGATGTAGCTTAGCTTGAAGTATAAGGCTTGTTGAAATCACAGTACAAGGAACTTAGAGTGAAGTTACAGGTTACACTTAAATCATACTAGGGACCCTTCAAACATGAGCATCCAAACATTAAAGTTTATTAACTCATGCTAAGTGCCTCCGGAATGTCTCAAAGTTATGCCATTTTAGGCAAGGGTTAACTCTGGGCTATTGTACCTAGCTTCAGTCTGCTCCATGGAGATAAAACATGGAGATAAAATCTGCAGTCCTCTAGCATCCCAGGATGCATCACTCCCAGGTTCCGCCACCCATCCAGAGCAGGGGTAGAGCCCAGATGTTCTGGATCCTAGCCAGGCCCCTACTCACCGGCGCTCTAGTGACAAGTTAGAACTGTAAAGGCAAGAAATGGTATTAACCCTGCTCACAATGTGTTCTAACTTTAACTCCACTTAATGTTCCACAGATTTAGTATGGCCTATAGGGAATGTGTAAACTTCATCCTTATATCACTAAAGCCAAAGGTCAATGTTCTGGAAGTATTTTTAATTAAACATATGCAATAAAAAAAAACAGTATGGCAATAGAAAACTTAGCCCTGCACTGCCAAAAAAAAAGGAAAAAAAGAAGAAAAAAAAAAGCTTAATAAGAAATACTAGAACTGCAGACATTTCAACCTGCCATATCATTAAAACAAGTATTAACCCTTGTTTTAGTTCAATGCCTTACTCAGTGAACAGAAAATCCTAAAGACATTAAATTCACTCTATAAAGTCATACATTTGGATGATTTACTTTTTATTCCACCTCACGAACAAATGCACAAGAGATAAAATTTCTTATGACATATCACCCCCTCCCTTGAATCCATACGGAAAATCCTCAAACAATTGCAACCCATACTGGAAAAAGACCCTATTCTTAAAGAGATCTTCCCAGAGCCACCCATCCTAGCCTTCAAACAAGCACCGAACCTCACTAACCTCATCACCAGAAGCAAAGTTCCTCAGGCCCAGAACACACCAAAAGGATCCAGACCGTGCCATGACAAGAAATGCAAAACCTGCCAACATATCTCCACCACCCCCACACCCCACAACAGAGCCATCAGCATTCCTGGATCTTACAGCTGCACCTCCAGAAATGTAACATATCTCATCCAATCCGCTGGCTTCACCACAATCCGCTGGCTGGGAAATTGGCTCCGTGGTCGGACCCAGAGAGTGGTGGTTGACAGAAGTCAATCATCGTGGTGCGCTGTGACCAGTGGGATCCCTCAAGGTTCTGTCCTTGGGCCAACACTATTCATCATCTTCATTAATGATGTGGACATTGGTGTCAGAGTGGGCTGGCCAAGTTCGCCGATGACACCAAACTCTGAAGTAAAGCATCCACATCTGAGGACAGGAGGGCGACCCAGGCTAACCTTGACAGGCTCAGAAAATGGGCAGATGAGAACCTGATGGTGTTTAACACCGAAAAATGCAAGGTTTTCCACCTTGGGAAGAAAAACCCGCATCATGCTTATAGGCTCAGCAGTGCTACGTTGGCTACCACTACGGACAAAAAGCACTTGGGGGTCATGATTGACCACAAAATGAACACAAGCCTTCAATTTGATGCTGTGGCTAGTAAAGTGATCAAAACACTGGCTTGCATCCATATATGTTTCTCAAGCAAATCCCAGGACATCATTCTCCTGTTGTACTCGGCCCTGGTGAGGCTGCAACTGGAGTACTTCATCCAGTTTTGGGCTCCACAATTCAAAAAGGATGTGGAGAAGCTTGAGAGAGTCCAGAGGAGAGCTATCCACATGATCAGAGGGCAGGAGAATAGGCCTTATGAAGAGAGGCTGAGAGCCATGGGACTCTTCAGCCTGGAAAAGCGCCGGCTCAGGGATGAACTGGTGGTCACCTATAGGTTTATCAGAGGTGCTCACCAGGATCTAGGGGAATGTCTGTTTACCAGAGTGCCCCAGGGGATGACAAGGTCAAATGGTCACAAACTCCTTCATGACCATTTCAGGCTGGACATAAGGAAGAACTTCTTTACCGTCCGAGCCCCCAAGATCTGGAATGGCCTGCCACCGGAGGTGTTTCAATCACCCACTTTGAACACCTTCAAGAGAAATTTGGATGTTTATCTTGCTGGGATCCTATGATCCCTGCTGACTTCCTGCCCCCGGGGCAGAGGGCTGGACTCAATCATCTTCCGAGGTCCCTTCCAGCCCTAATGTCTATGAAACTCTATGAAACTCCAATGCACCAAGTGCCCTGATGGAAAATACATAGGAGAGACAAACAACAACTGAACACCAGAATAAATGCACACCAGACATCTATCAAAGATGGAATGCCCAATGACCTGTCGGGGCACATTTCTCACAAGAAAACCACTCTGTCTCCAATCTCTCAGTTCTAATCCTCAAAGGAAACTTACAAAACACTTCCCAGAGACGAGCCTATGAGCTCCACTTCATCAACCTCTTGGATACTAAAAATCACGGACTAAATATAGACATTGGATTTATGACACATTATAACCTACCTGACATCTGACTCCCCAGGTACCTCTCCACTATTCATCCCCCTTCTCTCCCCCCAACCCAGCCTGTTTCTCACACATTGACTCCTAAATCTACATCTTCACTGACTGCCTATCTTGTATGTATACCAGCCCAGCCTCTGGCTTCTTTACTTTTCATTCCATCCAACAAGAGCACACACCAACTGCTGTAACTTCCTCAGCGTGACAAAGCGTTTTTGAACCCAAAAGCTTGCTTAAATTTTTTTTTCCAACTACTTAAGTTGGTCTAGTAAAAGATATCAGATTCATCCAAAGAACCTTGTCTGCCAAGAGATAAAATATAATTTTTAAAATTGGTAATTAATAATTAAATGTAAAATACAACTACTTTAATTTAGTCATCTTCTGCATACTATTCATTTAAAAGTCTCACATTTTCAATTTGAAAATATCTAGGAGAAAAAAAAAATCTCAAGTGGCCTGTAAAATTTCAGGCACTGTTATGTTTTTGAAGATGTATTTTTCTGTGTCTAGAGTAGGATTCTTAACATTAAAAATATATCAGCCCTTATTACATGCACAGGAATTGCAATTCTGAAAAGTCTCTATGCAATCTTGGAATCTAAGTGAAGGGCTACTTCAAAATTGGACCTGCAGTGTCAGTATAGATTGGGCACTTCAGTGGGGCTTTTTGGCACTTTTAGCTAAAGCTGATTCAACCCAGTACTAGATAAAAGTGCCAAAAAAGCCCCACTAAAGTGGCAGATCTATACAGATATTGGGTGAGTTGGGTTTAACTAAGGTACTGCCTCTTCTGGGCATGTGTGGGGCTCAGTGCAGGAATGTGCAGTAATGCACCAAGTTTAAAGTGCCGGGTTTTTGGAGGTTTTTTTTAATATCTGCAAGTAGCCTCAGTGCCTTTTATATGCTTTTGAGTTCTTCCCTCAACCTTCAAAAATATGTTGACATGACAATATGACTATGAACTTCTTTGAAGTTTTATTTGATAATAAAAAGAGGGCTGGGGATTTTCTTTTCTTTTTTTCTTTACATTTGTTGAGGTTTAGAGGTTCGGTTTATGACCACATCTTAAATCTATTTGGCTTCTTGAGTACAGTCATGATTCAAAATGTCAGAAGGACAAAAGTGACTGGCAATTATTAGACATGAAATTAAACACTTATAATCCTATCAATCCATATAGAACACATGCTGCTTTAGTGATATTAAGCATAATAAAAATTAATAGAAATAAAAATTATAACCTTTTTCTACATATGCTGCCATACCTTGGCTGTCAAGCTGAAAAAGCCTTTCGGTTCAACCATTTTCTCTAACACATGGCATTTCATTCCAGCAGTACTGTCATACTCATAAACCACTCCATATTCCAGGTGAACATTATCAACAGTCAGACTAACATGATCTTTCCTCCCATCAATTATTGCCATAGTGTTGAATTTATCAATTACCTCTGGAATAAAAAAAATTAAATTAATTCATTTTATTTTGGCTCTCTCAGACCTAAATCAAAATAAAAGAACAGCAGTAGACTAAATCTTTGGAAATAGGAATCTTTTGATAACTATTATTAAAAGGCACGTAAAAAAGTCCTGTCTACAAGCTGAATCAATTTAGGAAAATACTCAGGCTGTGGATGACTAAAGACTGAATTAGATTAAGAAGTGTGAGGAGTAGTGTCTATAGACACAAACTATAGTATATTATAGACACAAACTGTAGTAGTATCTATATTATAACACACTGTTTGTAAAAAGTTTGTTAAGCTTTACTTACTTGAAAGGTACCTTGATATTTGATTTACATTTGGGGGCCCAAAACAGCATGTTATTCATCTTAATTGGCTTCAGATTATGTTATCATCATTGGTGAATTTAAACTAGAGTTTTTCATGAAAGTGACATTCTCCCAAAATATCAGGTTGAATATGGGAATTTCAACTATTTCAAGGAAGATGGTATTTTAATATTTTCTCTTTCTGTCAGATCAGGAATTGCCAATAAATCCTTACATAAAACAAACTTCATGGTCTGTTTCATAGTTCTCTGGGGAAAGAAAAAATTCAATTTTCCTTGCTAATAAAAAGGAGATAGTAAAAAGAAGGGCATGCTAAAAATAAAGTTCAGACCTTCCACTTTGCAGTCAAAGACATCTCCTCCATCACCTCCAGGGGGCTTGGAGTTTGTTTTCTGAAGATCTTCCTGTGCACTCTCAATACTGTTATATACCCATTGTATGGAATCTTGCTAAAAAAAATAAATTCATGTGTAATAAAAACTGCTCCGTTTCACTTCTTTCAAACAGGAGAAATTTTAATACCCTAGCTATTAGAAACGTTTGTTAATTATATTGTTTTCTGTGTTTCAGTTTGAAGAACAACAAGATGTTGAACAGAGTAGTGAGATTGATTTTTATCTAAAACAGTTGTAGGAAAATGTATTCTACTGATCCCAGAGAGTTTATCAGTTAATTTGTTTCTGACTGTATTTATAGTACAGCTACCCTTTGTTTTATGCCTCATCAAAAAGACCTGTACAGAATATCTGAAGCAAATGCAGTGAAACAAACATTTTGTTAAACAAGGAATAGGCAAGATTCCCTTCTCCCACAGAGCGTCCACATAAAATTAGACACACTTAACCTCTTACTTTCTGATAAGTGCAGCAGAATAAAGGACAAAAATAAAAATGCAATATATCTGAACTGAAACTGAAGCCTCTAAAGAGCAGCGAGTGGGATGAACTGTAAGTTAAGAAAGAGTATCAAGTGTTGAGCTGATTATCATGTTTGCCATATGAAATGTTTATCAAAGTACAGCCTAATTATGTAAAACATATAAGTATTACCTTTCTAATCATCCACCAGTTAATGGACTAATATCCTTAATGATTAAGATAAATTTTGCCTTCCTAGATAAACCCATATTCAAATATGCTTTACCTTTTACTCAAACCAATTCATACCGTATTAAAGGTACCTAATATTTTGTATCTAGATTTTGGAGAGTCTTCCAGAAATACCCGCTAGCAGTTATTTGCACAGCAACAATCCAAAAGAAATAATTTTTAATCCCAGTTTGCTTAGTGAGATGCTGCTGATTTGACCGTGGGATTGTTTTATAGGTCTATATTCCTCAGATCCCAGTCTGTACCATTCAATCAGAGCTCTACTCATACCTTGAGGAGTCTACTGTGGGTTCAAAGGACACCTTATTTTGTTCATGGAACACGATTCCCAATTACTCCCTAACTTGAATTCAGACTGCCTTCACCAGTATTGTAAATGTCTTTAATTTAGTCAGTTAAAGATAAAAGAAACTATACAATGGTATCTAAAAGTAATAAAAGTGCCCCCTTCTGACAAGAACTCAACTCCATTTTGAAATCTTTTGCAATCAATCTTGATATGGTATATAACTGTTTCAATTCTATACTGGAGCATAAAGAGATCCACAAGAAGCATTTTCATTTATCTGCTATCATCTACATCACACATTTGAAACAAACCCGTATTTCCACTGGTTATCGCATATCTGTTCAGTTGGTCTGAGGGAAGGGTTTCCCACTCCACTTTAAATGGATTTTTTTTCTCAATTAGCATGAAATTAGATACATTGTGAAGTTAATTAATTATACTAGCTTATGGTTTATGAAGAATTTCCTAGAACTTAGAAAAATTACATTGCTGAATCCACCTTTTTAAAATAACATATACTATAGGTTTTAGAACATTTGATTTTCTTTCTAAACTAAAAAGCAAAACTACATTTTGTTCATATAAAGAAACAGAAAATCCGAATCTTTGAAATAATCAATTTCCTAGCAACGCAGAGTAAAGGGAGTGCAGACAGACATTTATAAGCAAGATACATATAAAATACATATATTTTTGCATGTATGTATAACTGTGTGTGTGTGTATTGCTCTCTCTGTACTTAAGTGACACTAAAATTTGGAAAAGAAATTAGCAGAACAGGTTATATTCACTTGCTGATGAGAAGGAAGCAAGCTATGTAAATGAATCTCCATCAAAATGAGACTGTACCTCCTAGTATTTTCTGGATGGAACACTGCTAGAAATAATCCTTTAAGAAGACAACATGAGAAAAATATTTAGTTAAATGCTTCGCTTTTTGAAGCAGAAATTAAACAGACCTTAAAAAGTAGCAATACATGTTAAACAATCATCAGATTTTATTGTTTAATAACCCTGTCTCCCCTTTGTTTCTTGAACACACACTGGATAGATTGGGTACCATATAGAACAAAACACGAAAAAATGTACAGGTAGACAAATCGGAGCATAAGCAGTAAACTGTACCTGCATTGGACGCCTGTATTTCCTGCAGGCTGTAACATGGGCAATAACGCTTGCATGACTCTCTTTGCTGACATTAATTCCATTCACTTTGATTATGCACTGTCCAGGGTGGAGACCAGCTGCAGCTGCCACAGTTCCTTAAAAAAATTGTGAAAGTTGCCAAATCACATGCTAAAGGATCCTCTTTTAAATTAACCGGCAATAAGCTCATTTTGCATGAGGACCTGGTAGTTTTGCTGCTTACATGGGTCCACTGGCCTTGGCTAGTAAAGCCAATCAACGGGAGTCCAAGAAATGTCACAGTTCTATGCTAGACCATGTGGGGAATTTTCTGTATAGACTTTATAGATTATTTTAGTAAAAAAACATTCAAACAGACAACTCTGAAAATCTAGGAAAATATGTATTTCAATTTTCAGTAAAAAAGATTAAAAATTCTGTAATTTGACAATAATTAAATATAGATAATTATTATATTCTAAATTCTATTCAGTTTCCTAAGCCTTTGCTTTTTGGCTATTGAAGATGTCTCTATCGCTACCAAAAACAGAAGCTCTGACAACTGGCCCCATAATTCAAAGGAAGTATTAAAGTCAACCAGAAAGTTCCAATCAAACAACATGTGCAAAATCCATATCCAAAGGCATTTCTGTGTGTTCAGCTCTTATTTTAATCTCCCTTCAGTTTCATTTGTAATGAAATGGCATACCCCCTTCTTCCAACATTAAAAATGATGGAATACGAACTTTTATTAACTTTAATCATTGTGAACAAAGATAAAAACACTGTTTATAAATAAAGTATATGGTCCAATTATTTTTTTTCTCTTTAGAGTGACAACCTTGGAAAAGTCCTCATTCTGATGAACAGAAAAAGCATAGGTGGAGAAAATCTCCACATCTGTGTGAAATTTTGGCAGCCGTTTCATTTCAGAATTGGTGTTTTGGGCACCGAAAAACCTCTGAAATGAAACGGAAAGCTCTGAAACATCTCCAAAATGAAATGAAACCATCTGAAACATTTCAAAAATGTTTCAGATGTTTCAGATACTTTGGAGCCGGGCTTGCAGGGAAACTAAGAAGAGGGAGGGAAAAGAGGGGCAGAAAGACTGCTCTGATAGTGACAGCTGTAGCTGGCCAATGTCTGTGTTCTGTTCCTGTCTCTTCCAATCCCAGTACTCTGGGGGGGGATGGCAGCCTGCTGTCATCTCACACGCAGATCTGGGGGCCCGCACCCCCTGGGAGGAGTCTGGCAGAGCCCCACAGCCCTCCCAAGGGACACAGGCCTCTGGATGTGTGTGCAGGATGACAGCATGCTGCTGCTGCCAGCTGGGGCCAGTGCCAGCATTCAAGTCTTCTCGATGCAGCCCATGCCAAGCACAGCCAGGGAAGACATGGGAGAATTCCCCATGGCTGCTGACCCGGCCTAGCCTCAAAAAAAAAAAAGCCACACTCACCGGCTGTATCTGGAGCTGTGGGGGCTCTTGGGCCATGTGGCATAGCCCTCCTGCCCAGCCTGGCCCCAGCATCCCAGCACTTTAAGAAAAAGTCCTGCACTCACCGGATCTGGCAGTGGGGATCAGAGCCTCTGAGGGCTCATGGCAAAGCCCCCTGCAGAGCATGGGGCAGTGAGGGGCAGCAGGGATCCCCTCCCCGGTACCTACTCAGCAGCTGCCCCATGGCGCGGGTGCAGTGTGGCTCGGCAGGGTGCCATGCGCTGTCTGGGAGCTGGCACCATTGGGGATGAGCGGTGCCGGGCTCCAGGTGACTGCTGGAGCTGCCCCAGCTCCCAGACAGTGCATGGTGCTCTGCCAAGCCACTCTGGACCCATGCCATGAGGCAGCTGCCCTGTGGGTGCCACGTGGCACGGGTGATCCCCGCTGCCTCCCACTGCCCCACGCTGTGCAGGGGGTCTCTGCCATGAGCCCTCAGAAGCCCTGATTGCTGCTGCCAGAGCCGGTAAGTGCAAGGCTTTTTCTTTTTTTTTTTCTATATATATTAAGTGCTGGGACTAGGCTGGGGCCAGCTGGGCTGTGGATGGGGTCGGGCAGGGCAGCCATAGGGGCTTCTCCCACTGCTCCACCCACCTGGGGGGAGGGGCACAGCCAGAGGAGCTGTGGGAAAACCTGCAGCCGCCTGGCTGTGCCTGCCTCTCTCCAGCCAATCCAAAACTCCAAAACAGCATCAAAATTCTGGAACATATTTGGCTGAATTGAAACGGAGCAGTGATCTGAAACACCAAAATGAATCACTATCCTCCAAAATGGTCGAATCTGAAATTGAAATGAGACATGGCCATTTTGCACAGCTCTACAATCTACAATTCCCTGCAATATACCTCAAATGTGTTCTGGAAGGACTGGTAATTGGGACTCAAGTTAACTGAAACTCCATGTACAGTCAGTTCTTTTCCTTTCTGTGGTAATCATGAAAAAGGTGCCAATGAAGACTACGGGCTGGATTCTAGTCCTCCTATTAGGCTCATAATTGGAAGTAGGTATCTAAGCATGATCTTATTCCAACTTGCTCAAGTCCCTGAAAAAATTGATCATACAAAAAACTGTTGGTTCCAAATGTCATATCACACAACAGACATACAGAATACTTCTGTTCTTCATTAGTATCAGACCAGCTATCCAGGGTATGTTAGATTAAAGAAAATGGCAAGTTTCTGACAGTCATATCACAGAAAGGACTTAAAACAATATTTAGAGCAAACATCTGTACTTCTTAAAATGGTCTAAATCACTGGAGTCCAAAGCTGCACAAGAGTATCTGTCAAAAGCATATACATAGGTTCTAAAATGAACAAAGTAACTGTCAGAAAGTTACTCCTGACCTCTATTCAATGAGTCCATTTATGTCCTCTACTAATTATTCCGTAATCTGTAAAAGGACATTGTTTTTAAACCTATATATGGGTTACTTTCAGAACAAAAATAATTTCCACAAACAAAATGTTTCAAAGTTTAAAAAAAATAAAAAATTATATTCTATTCAGAAGTTCTATTTGATGCTGTTTGCATCAATAGGAATGATCCTGTACATTATCTCACCAGGACCTTAAGACAGTATGGAGATGCTTCCTATTATCTTAGTCAGAACCTGGGACTTACCTCTCCCAACAGCATGGACAACTGATGGACCAAAGCCTCTGATCTGGAATCCCAGCCCATCTGCAGAGTCAGGAATCTTCACTGTCCTAATACAATACAAGAACTCCAGATGAAATATCAAATGGAGATTATGGAAGAATCTTATCATTAATTCACCTATTGTAATCAATCTCAATTCCCTCATCCACAAGCCAGATATTTTTCACTCTTTTGAAAACTGAAAAGGACTAAAAAGAGAGACTCTTAATCACCACTAGTTATTTACACCATGACATAATGCTTATCACCATGCTATATGATCATTCGACATTTACAATTAATTTACTTTCACAGTACTCATAGGAAAGCAATGCTTCATTTTTCAATCAAGAGTGACAAACATGAAAATTGAGAACTACCTTTTTTAAGAATGACTAATGGTTTGGGGTTCATCTCTTTCTGGCATGAGATACTTTGAAAGGGCCTGCCTGTTAGATAGTACTTTTTTCATTTCTTTCTGTTTACTTGTATTGAGGTGCTATCAAAACTCAAGAAATACATTCCAAAGAACAACAGACTAAATGTTGTCCTTTAAAGCTCCTATAACATACCCTGAAAAAAATCGGACAAATTAATTTAATTTTAGTACATTTCAATTTAAAGCGTTTTCTTTTTAAAAGTTCCAATAAGTCTACGAATTACAGGAATCACAAAAAAAAAAAATGGATAAGAATAACAGGAAAAATAGAATAGAAAAAGAGGACTGATCCTGCAGCTCTTATTTCATAAGGATCTCAAAACTTGGCTCAGAGATAAGGCCATGATGAGACTGAGACTAAATTATAGTCTGAGTCTGAGTCTTCATGAGACTAAGATATACAGAGAAAAGTAAATCAAGTTAAATGTGTGATAACATAACACACATTCACCCAAGTCATTGCGCTATCAAATGGCAAACAAACTACAAAGATATTCCACATCTAATGTGAAGCACCTCTGTGACTCATTTGTATGGTGCCTTAATTGAGTGCATGGCAGGTTAAAACTTGTTGGACTGTCCTGCACATGGGTTTTTAGACGCTGAGCAGGGATGTTAATCAAACATCCTCAGCTAGAACTTGCAAATCTGTGCCAGGGACAACCCCATGTAGGGCTGTAGTGCACACTTTCCCCTTTTCAGCACACATGTGATTGTTATACGGGGCTCTACAGACATCAGCAATTTGAGAGGGTGAAGCATGGCATAGGGGACCAGTCCCCCATACCAGTCTCCTTGTGCCAGTTGTTGTGTGGTTGGAATTCATGCCCTGATCCTAGCAATCACATGTCCTGCTACGCATGTGTGACATGGCAGGATGTACAATGGTTGTAATCAGGGATAAGATCCCATTTGCTAGCACTGCAATGTCTGCTAGCACTGTGAGCCAGAAGCACCAAAGTCCTGGGTTACCTAGTTCCTAGGCAGCTACTCTGGCAAGTACCCTAGTCACAGGCTTTGAAAGCCCCAGGGGTGCAGACTGCCAAGGAGCCATGATTCTGCTGGAATTTCACTGAAAACTAGTTAGGTTCACATGTAATCAAGACAAATAAACAGATGTCAGTGAAAAAACGTTTCATGGCAATGTTACTCTAGCTCTACTAAATTATAAGTTCTTCTGGTAGAAACTATCTATTGCTCCATATTAATGCAGTGCATAGCACAACGTGTTAGATTTTAGGAAGTAGAGTATTGAGAATAATAAAAGAAAAATGCTGAGATTCAGAAGAGATAAATGCTGTTTTAAAAGATATTAATTCAACATTATGCAAAAGTTTTATTCATCCATAAATTTTCAGTAATATCCAGTATCACTGTGCCACTTCTTGCACATAAACAAAAAAGGTGAACATACCCTTGGTTATATAGGGATATCCTAGGGAGAGGCTGAATCCAAACTCTTGCAGCCCATGTGCCCTTCTAAAAAGTGAACCAACTAGTCTGAAAATGCTAGTTTTCTAATTTTAACAATATAGAAATGAATCAGCTTTTTTTAATCTTATGAATATTTCCAAATTACTTCAGTGTGAGATTTTTCCTGAATCAGAATCTGGAATATTCTTACATATCACTGCTTTACTAAATGTTGTAATTCAACCCACAAGATCACTCATAATGTATGCCAAAACTGTTTGCACAAAAATACAAACAATTTACCATAGGGTAAAATAGGGCTGGGCTTTACCATGTGTCAGCCTTATTAACTGTCCAAATACTCCCAGCAGAAGAAGCAAAGCTAAGCCTCCTCAATGAAAGAAGAGTAAGTTAACCAAGGTTATCTTTCACTTACTATGGGGTAAGTTTGTGCAAGCAGGCACATTTTAGTTGTTGTATGGTAAAGCCTCATGCCCTTTTACCCTATGGTAGGTTGATCATATACGCATACTCTAAATAACACTTTTACATAGTCCTAATACTTGTTAATTTTAAAAGGTTGTCTCATAATAGAGGTAAGTAGGTTTGAATGCAAGAGGCTGGCCTCATGAGTGGCCCTTTAAATGCTGGAAGAAAAATCTAATGAAAAGTCTGTTCACTACTTTCATTAGCTTATTGTACACAGCACTGTACATTTGGTTCTTCATACAGATCTCTCTACTTTGCAGACTGTGAGAGGGGAGGGAAGCAATAACTGTATTTCTAAAACAAGAAGCAAAAGGTTAGTGAAAACTCATAAATAAATATATAGATGATAAATATACGGGATTAATTTGTGCCTTCAAACACATTTCTGAACAAAGAACAGTCGGCAAAATTCATCACTCCCAAGAAAAAAGTCTAAAGAGCCAACCCGGTTGGACACCATTTTTCTTTGCTTCCCTCACATAGTAAGTGAATTTTATATGCTGTAACACTTTTGTTCCAATGAGCCTGTCACAGAGCACTCAGGTGCCCTGTGCCTGAAGAAGGGAAAACTGCTAGGGAAGGAGCCCTAGCAGTGACTAAGGAGCACAGATGTGGGTTGCCAGGGCAACCAGGAAAGGTCAGCTGACCAGAGGGGGCAGGGCCTGGCCCTTATAAAGCCCAGGAGTTGAGGCCAGACGCAGTTCCCTGCCAGCAGCCAGAGAGGCAGGAGCTCTCTAAGGCAGGAGGTGAGGAGAAACCTGACCACAGCGACAGCTCGCAGAGGCTTGAGCAATGTTGTTTTAGCCAGGCGGCTTCAATTTATGTTACAGCCCAGGGGCTTGTGTTTTGTTGTTGTTTAAACCAGTGGTTTGGGCGAGGCTATTAGGGGTTGGAGGAGGCCTCATAGGGGACCCACAGTAGCGTGAGGACCCCAGCGCCAGTGGGCGCAGCACACAGGGTGCATAGACCCCAGCCCCAGAGAGGGGCGTTTGAGAAGCCCAAGCGTGGGCACAGCGAGCCCCAGAGAGCGGAGCACCTTATTGAGAAGCCCAGTGCGGGCGTGGCGAGCCCCAGAGAGGGGGCGTTACTGAGAGGCCCTAGCGTGGGCGTGGCGAGCCCCAGAGAAGGGGCAGCACTTACAAAGGCCTGAGGAGAGGGCAACAGTGCAGAGAAGGCCCCAGAGAAGGGGGCAGCACTTAAGAAGGCCCCGAGAGAGGGCGACGACGCTTGTGAAGGCCCAAAGAGGGGCCTGATTGGGAAAAAGGCCGAGGCATAACAGATATTCCATCTGCGAGGCTTGGGCTGCGGTATTGGGGAGGATAGGAGCTGCAGATAGCACCCCCTGGCAACGGGGCAGTACAATGGCAGCCTCCCGCTAATTAACATCAACTAATTAATTAACAACAAGGCATGGCAGGCGAGAAGGTGGGTGGTTGCCTCAGGAACAGGTGCACGGGTCACAATTTAGCTCGGCCCAGAACGGTTACCTGTTACAGAGCCCTCACAGATCACCTGCTCTCAGGGTAGTGATGAGAATAGTAAATCTGCTTTCTCCTTCTAACCTGGGCCCATACTCCAGGTAGACTATGCATGAGTTTGTAGGATGGGGTTTCACGTATACTACATGTATGTGTAAAATAAGGATATCAGTGTTTCCCAACCAGTGTGTTGTGGCACAAAAGTGTGCCATGGAATCTTGCCACGGCAATGAGCTACAATAAGTATGAGGATGGGGAATACCTTAGTAGGTGTACTGTGGGAAATTTTTATTAATGTTAGTGTGCCTTGGGCTGGAAAAGGTTGGGAAACACTGGCATATATTGCACTTTAGCCCTTACTGTCATTTTGATTCTGATTCTCCCCTCTCTGTTAAACTAGTGTAACATCCTGCAGGGCAGGGAGTGAATTCAGGCAGATTTGGACAGGCTGGGGAAGTGGGCAGGTCAGAATAGGATGCAATTTAGCAAGGATAAATGCAAGGTGCTGCACCTGGGGAGAAAGAATCTCCAACACACCTATAGACTGGGAGGTACCATTCTGAGCACCACAACAGTGGAAAGAGATCTCAGAGTCCTGGTTGATGCAAAAATGAACATGAGCCACCAGTGTGATAAGGCAATAAGCAAGGCTACCCATACTCTTGCATCAACAGGTGCATCACAAGCAGGTGATCGTGGGGAGGGGAAGTGATAATTCCCCTCTATGCGGCATTGGTGAGGCCACAGATGGAGTAGTGCATCCAGTTTTGGGCGCTGCACTACAAGAGGGATGTAGATAACCTTGAGAGGGTCCAGAAGAGAGCTACTCGTATGGTTGAGAGCCTGCAGGTAAGACCCTATGAAGACAGACTGAGGGCCCTGAATCTCTTCAGCCTCCGCAAAAGAAGGCTGAGAGGTGATCTTGTGGCTGTCTACAAACTCAGCAGGGGGGGCCAACATGGAAGAGGGGGCACTCTGTTTACCAGGGCGCCCTTCGGGTTTAACAGAAATAATGGCCACAAACCGAAGGAGAATAGATTTAGATTGGACATAAGGAAGAAATTCTTTACAGTGAGGGTTGCCAAAATATGGAATGGGCCTGCAAAGGAGGTGGTACTTTCCCCTACCTTGGAGGTGTTCAAGAAGAGATTGGATAGGCATCTGGCTAGGGTTACTTAACCCCAGCACTCTATCCTGCCTGGAGCAGCGGGTCAAACCCAATGATCTGCCAGGTCCCATCTGACCCTAGAAATCTATGAAATCCTTAACTTACAGTTGTTTAAGCAAAGACCATCAGCAGTGTTTTATCTATGTCTAGTGAACTCATAGATTTAAGACTTAGGCATAGTCTAAAGCAGGGCTGTCCATCTTCTTAGCAGCTGAGGACCACATCAGCAGGGGCTGCACATCGTGTGCTGCACCAGCAGGGGCTACAGCCCCCCTCACTTCCTTGACTACAAGCTCCCCCAGCACCACATGGGCTGGTCACTCCTCCCTCGCCACTGCAAGGTGTGGATTGGGGAGCAGCCCCCACCCACCACCAGCACCACTGCACTGTGCAAGCAGGCAGACAGCCCCCCAACCACCACCTTGGCTGCAATCCCCCTCTGCTGCACCATGTCATGACTCCCCTGGCACTGCAGACTGTGCTGCACCATGTTGCCCCGGGAAAAAAGGAGGGTGGAACCTGTAGACCTTGGCTACATCAGCCACACAGCAGGGCAGGGAGCTGCTCCAGAGTCAGGCTGGAATCTTGTGGCAGTGACAGCGTAGTCCAGAGCAAGGGCATGCTGCACGTGGGGCACAGATGAGGGGAGCAGTGGCCAGAGGGCCACAAACTGCCAGTTGGACAGCCGTGGATTAAATGAAAAGAACTAAAGGCTTTGAAGTAATAAACTGGTATTCCATGATTCTTCCACATAAAAGTAAGAAAGGGAAAAAAATTTTTTTTATTTCAAGGACTCTCTTAAGGATCGCGAGGGGTTTATTTTTTAATCTTGTTTATAGGAGCTAATGAGAGACGCCTATTAGATCACAGAGTCTAGCCTACAATTGGACAGGATATGGTTCCCAAAAAGAGGAAGCTGTTTAATAAACAAAATATTAGAAAACTGCCTATGTATGGGGAAAAGGTTCATTTACACTTATGGTTTCTGTATTATTTAAAATGAGAGCAATTTGAAAGTCAAAAGTTCTGTTTTCCTTTAGCTGATGTTGTCTGATAAATGTAATAGAGATAAATTGAAAGCAGATTGATTTAACAAAGACTAGCTAAAGGGATCTACTGTGTTGATAACAAATCAATCACTTTATTAAACAAGAACATTTTGCATAGTCAGGTAACTTTATAAGAGCCATTTAAACAATTTAAAGTACCTTTCAGCAAGAAATCATCTCATCCTAGTTACAGGCAACAATATTAAGTTAATTCAGTCATTCCTGTTTAATAATATAAAGCCACTTGCCTCTTTAAAGTCCCTTCAGTCACCATTTTTAAAATTCCCAAAACAGGAACCACAACTTACTCGCGTGGTTTTGTGCTCACAAGAACCCTGAGGGGCTGTCTGCTGTTTAAACATGCTTTCAAAAAGTAATCCACTTCATTGAAGGGTCTCAGGAAAACTAGGTCACCATTAATGGCAAAGATCTTTTTCCCTACTTCCAGGCCTGCCATCTAAGTGAGAGAAGAAGAAAAACAATCAGAATCTTTTTTTTGACCACCAACATAATGATTTCTCCTCAGTTGTACTGAAGAGTCAGTAATATAATGTCATATCAATAAGAAATTGACAAAACAGGCATAACCCAGACCTAGGATGCCAAAAAAAACGTATTGGAAGCCATGTTTGAAAAACACTTAGTACAAAAGGCCCTGACCTTGGCTGAAGCCTTCAGACATTACTGCAATACAAGTTAATAGTCATTATTAATAATGTAGACAGCAAGACGATAACAGAAATTGGCCCAATAAAAACTGTCATATTATCTAATCTACTTGTCTGCTATTCTCTAAAGAAGCTAAAACTCATTTTCAAAATACAGGGACTTGCTAAACATGTTAAACAGCAAGTAAACCTTACAAAAACAAAAAATCCTCAAACATTTTGTGTTTCACACATTTGAGCCATAGATATGACATACAGGATCATAAAGAATCTTTAAACCAGGGGTAGGCAAATTCCAGCCCAGGGGCCGGATCTGACTGGCAATAGACTCCATTTCCCAGCTGCCCAGGTGCCTGGGGCCAGTTTTCATGGAGACCCCAGCAGCAGCCATGCTGTGATACCGCAGGGCTGGAGTTTCTGTGGAGACTGCCCCTAGCAGTGCTGGCAGGCAGCAGCAGCACCAATCTCTTCCTGGTGGAGGGCTGAGGGAAGGCTGTGCTGCAGGTAGAAGCAGGGCAGGTTCAGCTGCCGCCACTTGTGCAAGGTGGGCAGCAGTGGCAGCAGTGATGCCACTGGCAGGGGTGGCTACGGGAAATTTTGGGGTGGCTATTGCCCCCCCCCACACACACACACACACACACCCAGCACCATCCGTGCTGGCAGGGCACACAGCAGGGCAGGGAGCTGCTCTAGAGCCAGGCTGGGATCTTGTGGCAGTGACAGCATGGTCCAGAGCAAGGGCAAAGCCATGATCTGAAGCCTGCATGCTCCAGGCAGGGACATGCAGGCAGCGGATCACAGCTCTGTCCCAGCTCCAGACCATGCTGTCACCACTTCAGGGAGCTGGGGCAGAACTGTGACCCACTGCCTGCACATCCCTGCCCAGAGCATGCAGGCTGCAGATCGAGGCTCTACCCTGGCTCTGGACCATGCTGTCACCACTGCAAGATCCTAGCCCAGCTCTGAAGCAGCTCCATGCCCTACCAGTGCTGCTGGGGCCAGTCTCTATGGAAACCCTGGCCTCATGCTATCACAGCACAGCTGCTGCTGGGGTTTCCATGGGAACCAGGCCCAGCCACATGGGCATGAGCTGCTGGAAAATGGAGTCTGGCCACCAGCTGGATTTGCCATTTTGCCCACCCCTGCTTTAAATTATTGGGCAATTATGTCCCTGACAGATGTTACAATCAAAAGTACCGTGCACCACCCTGGCTAGGAGCTGTGATCAGCCAGAGGTAGTGAAATGTGCCAGTTTAGTAATTAGGAATGGAAAAGTTGGGGACAGAGGACTGATCACAACATATTGAGACCATTTCCCATGTACTCCACAGCAGTGCAGGCCTTAAGGAAAATGGCACCCTTGTTACGCCTCAGCTCTGTGTTCTTGGGCAACCCTGGCATAGGATGCAGTCTGTCTGACTCACAAAGGACTCACCCCCCCTCCCTCCCCTTCTCTACCTAAACAAAACTGATTAAGATGCAGTGAGAGACGCACCTAAAACTCACCAGATAAGGGTGATAAGAGTGAAACAACTGCCCTAGGTCTCATTTACATCCGAGATGGAACCAGATGACCATTCATTTACATGAGAGATGGAGAACAGAAAGCCTGAAGCAGAGACTGCAGTGAATTCTGGGACCAGAGAAGCAGGAGAGCACTGCATGATGGGGAATCTGTGCTTCAAATGTTAATCAACCCATGTTCACACACACCCAGCTCAGCATTTATCAGACCAGTTCTAATCTGGATTTACTAAGGACTTTTTCCCCCCAGACACACACAGCCGGGTTAAGGAAGGCTGAGGCAAGAGACCGAGTCAGAGGGGGTATGGGCAACATTTGAACAATGGTTAAGGGTTCATCACAGCATCCAGCCTGCTGGAGCCCTAATCCCAGGTGTTGTCATATCTTTCCCGAGACGACTGGTGGGAGTCCTCTCCACAAAAGGTTATGAGCACCCCAATAATTGCTTTAAGTCTGTTAAAAGACTATAGTAAGATCTGGAAAAGTCATGCTAAGCTGAGGCTTGTGCACAACAAGTAAAAATCCAAAATCCTGATGCTGCAAGCTATCTATTGTTCCTGAAGAAACCATGAGATATCCCATCAGTATATCTGCCACCCATAGGAATTTCAAGCTGGCTCCCAAGTATTTGGGTTACTCCCTAATCTTAAGTGTTTCCTGATTATCAATCAGTTTCCTGAGATGGTCCAAACCAGATAACCCCTTGTCAATAGAAAAGACAATGATTTACACTACTGAGGGTGCTACGGAGCAGCTGAACTGAGGGTATAAAAATCTGTAAGTGTGTGTGCTGCTAGAGGGAGAAGAGGAAGAGGAAAAGGAAGGAAAAGAAGTAGAAGCAGGAGGAAAGAAGGAGAAGAAGAAAACCCCTGTGCTGACACCATCCCCTGTCGTTCTTGGGACGCTGGAAGAACAGATCATCTCTCCCTTCAAGGACTGTGCTACAGACTGTGCCTGTCAGCTTTGCAGCCTGAGTACCGTGGACTAGGTGAGATCCCAGCGTTCTCTGTCTTCTTTCTAGGCATAAACTTCTGAACCTGAACTGTATCAGTTAAGCTTGAGCTAAGTTTCCCCAAATACTTAGTGAAACCAGGGTAGTATTGTCATTGTTGGTGTTTGTTTTTCTTTTGCATGTCTATTACTACTAGTACTATTATATATTTCATATGCTTAGCAATAAATAACTTTTATAGTCAAACTGGTAGTAATTGGGTATATTTTTCCTTCTCTGCTTCTCTTTCCTCCCGTGCTCTGCAGCAACGCTTCTTTTACCTATGCTAAAGATCCCTGTGAAGCCCAAATTATTGTGGGGTCTGCTCATCAAGAGGCCAAAGATTGGGACGTGCTGAGTTTGAAACACATAAGGGGATCAGCTTGTACAGGCTGATTGACCCAGTTTGACTCAGACGTGCCCTTATGAACTGAATGCTGGCCCATGAGGGTGTCAGCTGGACACCCAGCCGGATTCAGCGGGCTTCTGTTTACCTGTGTGCTTGTGTCTGACTGCAGTTTATTGTTGCTCTGATGAACTGATTCTTGGCATATGAGGGTGTCAGCCTGTCCATGCTGATCAGCCCGGCCAGGTCAGGCGTGTCACGTTAATTTGTGTGTGTTTGTGTGTGTGACTGATTTGGTGACTGGAAGAACCCAGTCCCATTGAGATTGAGTCCTGCAAGATAGCTCCACTGGGGGTGAGGGCTTGCAGAAGGGAGAAATACAGCTCCGTATAGTAACACAAGCAGCACATTGACAGAATCACCAAGACCCTAGAAACTATCCCTAATAAATGAGCACACCCCAAAGTAATGGGCAAATTTGGTAACACCTTGACCAGACTTGTATTTGGGTACCCTCCGATGCTCTTCCCACCTAGCACTCCCCCATCCCCTCATGTCACTGACACTGCTGCCCTGCTGCAGAGGGGGCTCTGTCTGATGGGCCAGGAAGCTGGCAAGGCATCTGCCTGCAGCAGGGATCACTGGCTACAGCCCCATGGAGCCAAAGTGAAGGAAGCAGGAGCCTGTGTTGAGCAGCTGGCGAGTACTGGCATGGAGCCTCCCAGTGCCCTGCAGCTACCTGGAGTTCCTCCAGGGCCCAACACACAACTGGCCACATGCAGGCAAGCCTTGACCAGAGCCATCCCCCACTTCCCTCCATGGGCCTCCAGCTCCAGCCAAGGGCTCCCTGCATATGCTGCCCCACCCAGGCAGGAGCAGGTGTGGAATCAGGCAGCTCACACCGGCGCCACATCATGAGGGGCCCTAAGTAACGCCCCAGGTCAGCACCACTACCTGCCACTTGCAGTGCCTGTGTGTGTGTGTGTGTGGAGGGGGTTCCCTCACATAGCATCCTGGGCATTTGCCCACATCACCCCCCACCCCGCCCCCAGCTAAGACTGGCTCTGCTCCACAGGCTGGGCACTAGCCACATGTTCAATTAAAGGCCTAAGATAAAGTAGCCCTAAAGTATACATATTTTGTGTTATAACACTATAGCTTATTCCTCATTTTATCGTGCCATTATTTGATTGAATGTGGGGCCAAGTCACTACTTAAGACATGATTAACACCGTTAATCATGTCTTGTGTGTAACGTCTGTCAGGGGTGTAGAAAAATATAGGGATATGGAAAGTTAATACAGCTGAACTTTGGCTGGATATAATCCTGTGGTTGTACTATACCACTGATTTGCTGCATCTTTAATTCCTAACCTTTTGTGGGATAAAAAAAAAAGTTAAATCCAGCTCTTCAAGGATTCTCCTGTAAAATAAAAATTCCAACTGTTATCTTAAAACATCACTATTTGTCTATCTGTGCAAGTACAGGAACTCCCATTCATGTCAGTGGATTCCATCTGAAACAATGTCAACATAAATACAAACCCTCTCATTTACTTTCTCAGATTTTCAAACTCTGCAGTTTACATTATTACAAATAAAAACAATAAACACCTTGATATACCCCACTTTTAAATGAAATAATTCAAGTATTTGTCTGTGGAGTACCACATTTGCTTTATTTTCATCACGTGTTCTTTGCAGTCATGCTTGGCACTCAAGAATAAAGGTATCACATAAAAATAAAACATGTATAAGATATTAATAGTATAACTTCAAATATCATAAATCACAACTGGAAATAAAGTGATAGGGCTACAAATGGTTATAAAAGCTGTTTTAAACAAACATGACAAAAAAATCCAAATTTTTCCTTGAAAATATACCCAAAGCAGGAAGCTGAATGTTATTATCTAAATAGATGATATTTTAAAAATTATACCACAAATAAGAATGTGAATATACATTTTTGAACAAAGCCATAAAATGTAAAAGACCAGAGTAAATAGTATTTGATACCTCAGCATTTGATCCTTTCTCCACTACTTTAATAATAGGCACTTTGTTTTTGTCTTCTAAACCAAAACCATAGCTGCCTTCATTAGATTTAATCTGAAAAATAAAATAGTTTAACACAGTGTTTACTGAAATGATCTTAAATGTGCTTTAAAAATAAATGAAAGCAAAAATATGCAAACATATGGGGTTTAATGTTACTGCATCCTACCTATTACTGGACAAAGAACATGTTTATTCAATCTAACTTACCAATAATGATTTGGCTATGACATTTTCCACAACTTTTAAGTCATGTTTCATGAGCCTGTGCTTCATATTTGACCCTTCCATCTCTTCATCCACAAAAAAACGAAATAGCAGTGGTTCATCTTTAAATTCACTTTTTTCTAATACTGTAAAATACACAAATACAAAGATTAATCAATCTTTCAACTGTGAATTGTGAACAAAAGTTCTTTCCAAAATAGTAATCATTTTTGAGCATTCATACTCTAGAGCAACCCGAATTATTTAAACATAAGAGACAAAGAATCATAGAAATTAAGGGTTGGAAGGGACAAAGGACTAACTACAACAGCAGATTGAGACCATTCATATATTTAAAAATTTTTTTAAAGTTGCTGAAAAGACAATGAGGCTACCCCTTATTTTATTTCTCCCATTCTATCTCTGACTTCACAGTCCTTGCCTCAAGAGAAACGAACACAATCTTTTGAGAAGACAAGCCTAGACACAAACATTACTGGACACTACAAACCATGGACTCAACACTGACAATGGTTTTATGGTTCATACCCTTCATACCATCTGATGAAGTATGCAGTTGCTCACAAATGCTTATGTAGCTCTGACTTAGTCTATGTGCAAGGTGCAACTCTACCCTGCCTTCTCTATGGCTCATTACAATTTACTTGCTCCCTCTGCAAACCTCTCTATGCTCCTCAGATAATAACAGCCCTCTTCTGTCTGGAATTGTCTTATTGTTTTACATAAATTAGGAATATAAATTTAACTGTTCATCACTTGGTGTGCAACTACTGCTGATAATTTATCTTTAATCCACAAGTTTACTATGCACTTCCCCTTATTTTTGTTCAAGTAAGAGATCAAACTAAAAAAAATCATTCTACCTAATGTTTACTGGGGCTATATCTATCTCTTCCCCAAAAGATTACCCAAACTATCTCCCAATTATATGGTTAGCCCAATAAAAGATATTAGCAAACTAATTTTTCTTCTCTTTTGTCTGTCCATACACTTAAGAATCATTTCTTCCCGTGATCCCTTCCATTTTCTTTTCATCGTTTTTTCACATTGTTCCTTATCTGAACTCCACTGCATTTATGTTGGCTGACTTACAATGGCAGGGCTTCTAGGCAGAGATCAGATTGTATTCAAAGCACCAATATTTCTTAGTAATGATTACTAACAAATTCCTCCATAAATCTTTCAAAGACTAACGGCCCCACCACAAACGCGCGCACACACGCACACACACACACACAGTGTATATTCTTAATTAACTCTAAGTAACACAAGAATCCTGTTAAATATTCTGTGAAATATTTAAAAAAAATTTTCAGAGACAACTGAAACCATGTACTGACTTGCCTATCTGCCTTTTCTAATCTCTTTAATGAGTCCCTTTATTTTCTTCTTACAATGCACAAGGAATTTAATGAAACGTGAGTGAGAACTTGTACAAAATGTACCTACCATGGTGCATAAACCCATTGTCACAAAGAGCTACACCAAAGATCATTGCTTCCTCCCTGGTCCGGCAATCTCCCTGTTAAATCATAATAAGTGCTATGTAATAAAAACCTCTGAAAAAGGTATTCTACTGTACATCCATAACACTGAAGGAATGGAAACTGTGGACAAAAGTATGAGTAAATTGGCCTCCTGCATAATAACACGTTTACTATCATCACAACGATGGCTATGCCTACTATTAGGCATGTAATTTTATAAAACAGGGATGTCCAACTTCTAAGCACATGGGATACAGGCCAGGGTGAGCCACAGCCCCCCTGGGTTATGCATCATGCATTATACATGGCCCACTGTACTGCACAGGAGCTCTTCCCAACCACACATGTGCTTTCCCACTTGCCACTGCTGTACCACATGCCCACACAGACTTGGGCTCACTCTCAGGCCCCCATCCTGACCTGTTTTACCCCACCCTATCCTTGGGGCAGAGGCAGGAACTATAAGATGGAGCGGGATCCCAGCAGCTCCAACTACGTTGCATTCAGAACAATGCAGGAGAGATGCAGCTAGACAGGAGTCAGGTACTGCAAGTTAACTTGTGGCACGTAGGCTGCTATTTAGATAGCCCTGGTCTAAAATATTGAATCCTGATGCTGACACTGCATTGTCAAAAATATTCAGGTAACATAGATATTCCAGAAAATAAGCCTAAACCAAAGTTCATAAGATATCCTAAATCTTTTCTAATATTTTTGGTTATCAACTTTTCTCCCAATTATTTTCATTCTCTACACTTATTCTAATTTATTGTCTGTCATCCCTCATTACTTATTCCAACATTTCTGTTGACATCTATATTTAAACCTGCTCAAAGAACAATGTTGGCTTTAATTTGTAAAATGATGCTACAAATAATTTGTAAACATGTGTAACATTTATAAGCCATGTTCATTTTCACATTTAGTGTTGTCCCAATACATATGAGAAGTACCATAATTTATTTTGAAGGGATAAAATGTGTACAGAAGGGATTCTTGAATCTGTGCTCTAACTTAATTGCTGTCAGATCCTATTCCCAAAGAACCTCTACTACTCTTGGCAGATTTTGCAGCCCTATATAATAGTAGCACAGAACCACGTTGGCTGAGAACTAGCTAAATTCAGAGAAAAACTGGTACATCACTCAGCCTACAAGTTATTACTGTCCTCGTTCAATACAAATAAGATATTTGCCTAAAACGGAATTCCCTGATTGTAAACTTCTCCCTGCCATTTCCTTTTGCCTAGTAGGTAATCTATAGCTTCTACCCTGTTTAAAAAAAATTACAAACACTGCTGTATGTTGTACCAGGAAAGAATTAAGCAAACCACACAAAAATTTAAACTTCAGTTTGCAACACAGGAAGATCAGCCTTTGGCCACTGTCAGGCAATTTCTGCCATTTTACAGAACTAATAGGATTATATTTACAGAAACTCAATTTTAAAAATTAGGATTTTTGGACAAACTATTTGCCAGTTTCTTCACTCAATAAACCACTACTTTCTATGGAAGGATGCAAACTCAATATGTAGAAAAGTAGATCAACCTAAAAATACACTTGCCTGTGCAATCAGCCAGTCTATCAGTTTGTTAGCCATGACTACAGATTTGTAGGTCCTTAGATGGTAATCTTTATCCCTGTTTAAAAACAGAAAAACAAATCTCTCTATGTTACAGAAAAACAAATCCCTCTATGTTACACACAAATCAATACAAGCATTATCTATGCTGTTTTTAATAATTTTGTGTACCTTAGATGTAGATGCTTAGAGGCTGCCCTGAGATCAACTCCTTAACTGGAGTTAAGGATAAGGTAGAATTTGGCCTAATTTTATACATAGCATCTACTCTTCGTATATGAATTTCTTCTAAGAGAGTCAGTAAATACTTAACATGTGGCCTCACCTTATTACTGGAGTAAACAGGCTGTGAAGACGACAGTACAATCTTACACCCTGTTACAGATAAGGATATGTTTAAATCATTTTATAGTGAATGAAATAGCACAGTTCATGCATATTCTAGCAAATCTTAACCAATCAAAACTTGGAATCAATTTATATTTAAAAAGTAGAACATTCATTTTATAGACATGTTTTCATATATCAAAATAATTTCTGAAGCTTCCAAAAAAATCAAAACAACCCTAAACTTTTATTTACAAAGTGAAACACAACTCACCACACACTAAACAAACAAATTAAAAAATTAGATATGAAATGACTCAAAAGTATTTGAATATAAGAATCATACTTTTTTGGCTTTTCAGTGTTTTCACCACAACATTTTCCTGAAAGCACATCAGTATATAAAAATATGTAAAAAAAATAACAAGAAAATGAGGACATACACTATACCAACAACACAAAATAAATTAAAAGATTTAGGCAGAAACTCTGCCACATATTGCCGTGCCAGCTAACTCAGAGATACTCAATATTTGCAACCAGCAAGAAGAAAAATCAGTGAAGTAACTATCATAACAGAATAGGTTGGGAAAAAATAAAGTGACCTCAGTTTACATTTGTTGAATTCCACAGAATCATAAACTAGCATCATCAATGGGGCTAAGAGCAACTTTTGTTTTATTCCTTCTATCAACAAAGTCACTGTGGACATAAAAATCACACAACTTAAATGTCTGCTAAAACCTCAGGTGACTTCTAATGTCTTGAGAAAAAAAATACCATTTTTAAACATACAACACACCCCTGAATAAGATATACACCTTGTCTTTGAAAGGCAGAATGAAGAAAAAAAATCTGTCTTTGAACATACTGTAAGAGTAACTGAGTAGCACCTTCTACAACAGGAACCTCTGCAAGCAGGGGGAAGGAAAGGGAGGAAGGATGGGGAGAGAAAAAGAGAACACCACAGACAGCAGCTACAGAGCCTTATTGCTGCAGCATTACTTTTTCTTTCCCCCCAGCAGAGGCAGAAACTGCTATTACTATATTTCCTTGTTATTAAATGCACCCAATTTCCAACAATTGAATTTTGGTAAAAGGTGTGTGCTGTGTACAAAAAAATATGATACTATTTCCTCACTAAAGGGATATCAAAGGCCAGACATATTTGAAAAAGCAGGCAAAAGGAATGCCTGTCTAAAACAGCCATACTGCTTGTTTTTTTAAATTCAAGGTCATTGAAAAAGGAGCAAGCATCCCTAATATGATTTTGCAATGTCTGCTGAAAAAAAAAATCATTTTTAGCAAATACATTTCCTTGTTTCTAGAGGATTTGCAGTAAGCCAAGAGCCGAAAATTGACTTCAGATATGCATTATTTACCCTGATTCACATTAATGTGAGATGTATGCAAGTGTCCAGGGACCGACTTTGTCCTAACAGTGTGTTTTTGTTTGATACATAACCTGAGTTTCATCTTCAACACATTTTTATTAATAACAGTACTTTTGTACCTTGGAAATAACATCCTGCATTTCATTTCGTGGATAGTATGTTCCATCATCATAACGGAATCTGTAGAGCATGTGTTCAGGTTTGAACTGGTGCTTGTCTGTAACTAAACCAAAAAGTAATCATGGAAAGCTAACCAAAAAATTCTGATTCTGCATAGGCAGGAAGGCAATCCATATGACACAAAGTAATTCATTCCCTATATACCACCACCAAATAACACCAATCATAGATTTCCCAGTATTTAAGGTCTGAAGGGAACATTAGATCATCTGACCTGGACACCTGGTTGTTATAGCCAATTCATGTCATCCACTCTCTATTGAGCCCCATTAGTCTAGCTAAACCAAAGAGCTTCAGCCCACAAGAAACCATTATTTGAGCAAGATGCACCAAAGTAAGTATCGGCACAGCCTTGAAGCACTGGTCCATACCATCCACCATCCCTTCTTCAATTGGGCCCAAACTTCAGATACTTCAGAGAACAACAAGAAAAAATTGAGAATACTTATGACCAATTGCTCATCAGTAAACATCCCTCCCTTTCCCCTGTTGAAACTCGGAAGTAGGAGGTTGTATTTTATTATATTTTTAGCATAGAATTGCTAGTTTTCCTAGAATGTTGTGGGTAGGGAAGATGATCCAATTCTCCAAAAGACCCATCAAGGAAGGACAGAAAAAATAGGGGAAAATAAAATTCCAAGAGAAGAGAGGAGTGCTATGACTGTTCAACCAAAGCCCCTCCACACATTGGCTACAAATGTCTCCCAGAAAGTAGATTAAAGAATGTCTCCTAGAAAAGAATCTAAACTCATTTTAAAGACATCAAGCACTGGGAAGTCCAGGACTTAGTTACCCTCACTCCAAGGAAATGTTGGCTTGATTTCAAAGCTGAAATATTTCTATCTTCAACTACTAGTCACATGACTTGATAATTTTGTCAGCAAAACAGAAAAGACCCCATTATCAGATACCACCTCTTCCATGTATAAGTATCTGTACGCAGTTATCAAGCTGACAATCAGCCCTTGACAAAGCAAATGTAACAAGTGGGCCATCCCAGGGCCATTCCAAGTGTTGGCCCGCCCACCCACCTGCCTTTCCTGCCATGCCTTTATTGTATCTAAAGTTGTTCCTAGGCAAGAGGCTGCCCATCTAATTGCCCTGATGCCAAGGGTGAATACATGGCTCTGAAATTCCCCTTATACCATGGTCCAATGCCTTGCAGATGGCATCCACATCCACTAATACTCCCCCGGCCCCTTAACTGGTCTGCACTTGGCTACACCCAGTCTGAACTTGGCCTTAGGCATCCTCAGACCTACCTCGGCCTCAGGCCCCCCCTCACTGGGGCTTCTTCCCAGGCCCCCTCTCTGGGGCTTTTTCCTATGCCCCCATACTGGGGCTTCAGTACCCTGCCCTTCACTGGGGCCTCAACACCTAGGTCCCTTACTGGGCTTCTACCCTGCCCTTCACTGGGCTGCTGGGCCTAATGCCACTTGGGTCTTAGGCCTCACTCAGTGGACTTGGGCCCTGTCTCAGGCCCCCTTCAATTGGCCTGGACCCCGCCTCAGGCCCCACTTGATGGGTCTTAGCCCTGTGCTTTTCTGTAGGCATGAGCTCCCCTTGACCCTGTGGAGGAGAAGGTGTCTCACAAAGCAGTGGGGCACCCCATACTCACCTTTCACTGGGGAGGCACAGGTGTGGCATTTCCTGGAGACTGCCTCACCACAAGCAGTCCCACCACACCATCCTCCCCAGTAGGGTGTAATTTAAGGTCATTTTGCAGTACCAGGAACCTCCTCCACCCCCATAGTTCCTACCCTGAACCTCCAAGCTGTTCTGGGAGCAGCAGATCTCCAGCTGTGTGATGTTGTTCCTTTGGCCACCTGCAGCAATTGCCAGCTCTGCTCTCAGGGCCTAGCCTTATGCCCAGGCTCCCACCCTCCTGCCTAACACATGACCGCCTGATTGGGTCTGCTTCCACCTGCAGGCTGCTTGCCACCTGCCCAGACCCCTTAAAGTGGCAGGCACAACCTGTGCTCTGCAACAGCAAGTAACACCTCCCTGCTTGTCTTCCAGTCCTGAGGTCATTTTTTGTGGCCTTTATGTTCTGTCTCATTTCTGTGCCTGTTTGTGAATTATCTTCTACTATAATGAATATACCAATATGCCTTACCAATCCCATGTGAAGAGGCAATCTCACTGGACCTTTACATCTCATTATCACCCATTTTTATGCAATCAAAGAACATATTAACCAATTTTGCTAGAGCAGTTCTTTGGTAGTTCACGTTGGCTATGTACAGACAGTCAAAAAGCCCAAGGCTGAATTGATTCCGTCTTTGCAAATTAGTCTAAAATGCAGAGATTAAACTGATAAGCAAATTAGCACTCACTTTTGATTCAGGCATGTGGTTGAAATGCAACCACATGCCTGCAGTGGCTCAGAAGCGGCGGGGGGGGGGGGGGGGGCTAGAGCACCCCTGCCAGCCCCTGCCAAAGGAAGGGAAGAGAAAAGCCCTCCAAGCAGAGGGGGCATGGCCAAGACCCAGCCCGGAGCTAGCAAGAGAGTATGCCTGGGCAGGGGGATGCTTCCCTGGCTGGGAGGGGTGGGGGGAAAGGTAGTGGCATTGAATTCATAAAAGTTTGAACAAGAATTAGTTTTCTCTAAAGTGAGCATTAAACACAGCTTGGCTGTGTATTCACTTCCTCTTCCTCATGCCTGCAAGGTCTCTGGGATTTGCAGTCCACAATCACAGCAGCAGGAGTCTGAGGGGTTGTTCCTCACTTCTTCTTCCTGCTTCCAGGTGCTTCTGGGTTTTGTAGTCCACAGTCACAGGCAGCAGTAAGTAAGCAGGGCAGGGCAGCTCCATACTTGGGGGAAGGGGAGTTTAACCCCCCTCCCTGGCCTCAGACCCTAGCCAGGGTTTGCCGGGGAGGGGGAGGGAGGGCAATGAACCATCCAGTGAGGCTCTGGCTAGGAAACAGAGGGGCAGAACCAACCCTTCTCTCTAAAGCAGACAGCACAGACCAGACCAGGGCTGCAAAGCATGCTGGGAGGACCCTGATTTAACATGAACCAGGAAGGGGTCTGAGACAGAAGTTCCATAAACGGGTTTGACCCAAATCAGTTAAGTCTGATACTACATTCAACCAGGTTTATCTTAAACCAGTTTCAGCCATTTTGAAACTGATTTATGTGCACTGACCTTGTGTTCTGTTACAGGTTTAAACCAGTTTCTGACCACTTAAACTGGTTTATGTGCAACTTTGTTAAGACAAGCATAGGCATACCAACATACATGCCAAAACTACACCCAAAAAAAGGAGCAAGTTCATACAGGGGCAGATCCAGGGTGGGATCCCCACCCCTCTTTGATTCTCACTGCACCCAAACTTTAAAGCCAACTGCCTGAGAAGGCTAGCAGCACTTGTATTCAAGCCGCACTGAGGGAGTCAGATGTCTTCATGGCTCAGTATAATCTACCTGACTCCTGCTAATCTCTCTTCACTCAACAAGTGTTAGCAACACCCTCACCTTTTAAATGGTTTTGATGGTCCACTATTCAAGCTAGCCTTTCTTCTGTAATTTTGCTGTATTAGACATTCCTTATAATTGCTATCATCTATTTCACAGCCCTGCAGATTGTTTTTAGCTGTAGCTAAAAACTCAGAGATGCGGTAATATTAACTCAGGTAAACATAACTCAGGTTGCTCAAGGAGACTAGATTTTCTTTTACAAACCTGAATAAGAGATGTATGTTTAATTATGAAGACTGCAAGACTAATGGAACAATATCTTTTTACTATTTTTTGCTTTGTTTGTTGTGTTTTTTCTAACTTATATATATAATCTAGCTGGAAAATAGTGCAGATTCCAATAAAGTTATATTTGTTTTTGCTTTGAACATAAACTGAATAATATAGTGCTTGTCTCCTAGCATATTAGAAAAGTTTCTAATTTCTCTAACTGGAGAAAACTGTGTGTTGATGTGCTACACCATCTGCACCCCCTTTTTCAAAATCCTAGATCCACCCCAGAGATCAAGTAACGAGATAAGGATTTTTTCATATAATCGTGCATTTAATATAATAATGAAATGTCATCAATCATGCAGTCTTTTTCAGTAACTTTCCACTGAAGTTAACATCCTCGTAAAAAAAGACCATTTTTCTTTTATTGTTTTTATGCCATAAGGCCTAGGTTGTTCTGTTCAATAGGAAAGATGGTCCCATAATTGTCATGCTAGCATGGGACTTGGGTTCAATTTATTTCTCTATCACAGACATTCCTCATGATTTATTGGAGACCATTTTATCTTTCTATGCTGCAGTGCTATATATGCAAAACAAGGACTATAGTACTTCCCTTTTTACCAGGGTATTGTAAAAATAAAAAAGTATTAGTTATGATGAGGTCCTCTGACTTTGGTAACAGGAGCCATATACTATATAAATGACCTAGTCTGTTTGAAAAGTATGTTTAAGAAGATAGTATATCACTTTGAATAATTACACAAGCCATTTATAAAAATAAAATGCATGGTACCAGGTCAAACTGACCTTATTACTCAATGGAAGTTTTACCTACGTGATATCAACATTTGTTCCGTGCAATTTATCTAGCTGTTTATAAAAAGTATAATTTCTTTTTCTCTTTGTGTTTGTTGTGTTCTTTAATCTATGTTAACTGAATGAACAAATGACTATCTAGTGTGGAACTTTCACTGATGTTAAAATAAATTATATGTACACCAGAAATACACCAGACATCCAGGTCCCTGAGGACTGGAAAAGGGCCAATGTGGTTCCCATTTTTAAGAAGGGAAGAAGGGATGAGCCGGGTAACTTTAGGCCAGTCAGTCTTACTTCTATCCTTGGGAAAATACTGGAAAAAAATCATCAAAGAGCACATTTGTGAAGGCCCAGCAGGGGAAATGATGCTGAAAGGAAACCGGCATGGGTTCATCACAGGTAGATCCTGCCTGACAAACCTTATAGCCTTTTATGACCAGGTCACGCACTGCCTTGACACAGGAGCTGAGGCTGATGTCATCTACCTGGATTTTAAGAAGGCCTTAGACATATTTTTGCATCCTATTCTCATAGAGAAGCTAGCTGGCTGTGGAGTGGATGCTTGCACAGTCAGGTGGGTGGCCAACTGGCTTAGGGACCGCACCCAGAGAGTGGTACTGGATGGGTTGTTCTTGGCCTGGAAAGAGGTGGGCAGTGTGGTCCCACTGGGTTCGGTGCTTGGACCGGTATTATTTAATATCTTCATCAGTGATTTTTTGGACAAGGGTGTGGAGAGCACCTTCTCCAAGTTCACAGATGATACCAAGTTATGGAGCAAAGTTAACACACTGGAGAGCAAGGAACAGATACAGGCTGATCTGGACAGGTTGGATCAATGGGCAGAACGAAATAGGATGCAATTCAACAAAGATAAATGTAAGGTACTCCACCTAGGAAGGAGGAATCCCCACCACAACTATAGGTTGGGCGATGACCTCCTCAGTAGCTCAGAGGCTGAGAGAGATCTTGGAGTCATAGCTGACTCCAAGATGAACATGAGCCAGCAGTGTAACGAGGCCATCAACAATGCCAATTGCACCTTGTTGTGTATTAGCAGATACATGACCAACAGATCAAGGGAGGTTATGTTCTCCCTCTATGCGGCATTGATCAGGCCGCAGTTGGAGTACTGTGTCCTGTTTTGTGCGCCGCACTTCAAGAGGGACACGGAGAATCTGGAGAGGGTTCAAAGGAGGGCTACTCACATGATTATTGCCTCCATGAAAGACCCTACGAGGGGAGGTTGAAGGATCCAGATCTCTTCAGCCTTCACAAGAGACATCTGAGGGGAGACCTTGTAGCCGCCTATAAGTTTATCAAGGGAGGACAACAGGGAATTGGAGATGCGCTATTTACCAGAGCGCCCCTAGGAGTAACTAGGAATAATGGGTGCAAACTAGTGGAGAGTAGATTCAGGTTAGACATTAGGAAGAAATGTTTTCAGTAAGTGGCCAGAATCTGGAATGGGCTTCCAAGAGAAGTGGCGCTATCATCTAACTTGGAGGTCTTCAAGAGGAGGCTAGATAGTCACCTGGCTGGGGTCATCTGACCTCGGTCCTCTTTCCTGCCAGGGGCAGGGGGGTCAGACATGATGATCCTTTGTGGTCCCTTCCAACTCTACAATCTATGAATCTATGAATAAACTTATTTATGTCCAAACAACAAAAAGAATTCTTCTAGATTCCTCATTTTTCCAAACTACCTAACAAAAATAGTTCAAAATCTGGAGAAGCACACAAAAAAATAGATTATTTTCTAAATTATCCAAATCACACCATACTGGTCATCTTTTTTAATTTTTTTAATAAATTATCCATTGAATAGAACTTGTATATTCAGAAACTGGTGAAAACAATAAATTAAATAAAGTTATAGAGTTTTGGGGACATTAAAAAAAGTTTTTTGTGCAAGTTTTAGCATAATGATTGATTTAGTTCTTCTTTTAGACAGGATGAGTTGCATATCCTCGACATTTAACTGAATTAGTTGACTTTAATGTTATTTTAGTAAATACAAAATGCCTTATTGTGTTGAAAGGAAGCTTACATTTATAATCATCAGGGTAACTGATCCAGGAAAGCAGCTCATCCCTATAACTGATAATTATGAGTCTTCACAATGTCAAAGAAAATGCTTCCAGGCTGGTTTCAGCACTGCGCCAAGCAAACATATTTCTCCCTGGAGCATATATTTTTTTTAAAAAAGGAAAACAGACCTTTTCCATTACCACAGAATCCACACAACTAGTACAATGACCAGCACAGATATAGTCTGTACTGTTAAAATAATGGCCAACACAGTGAAAAAAAATGACAGACAGTGAATATCTGAATATAGCAAAATCCTTTAAAACATTTGTAATGTGCATAACAACAAGTTTTTTTTTTCTCTCTCTCCTTTTTCACTTTGAAAACAGATGGCTCATTCAACCTTATTTTAAGAATTCTATTTTCACCACAACACAGCTGGATTTACATACTAATGTAAGTAGCATGTCTGGCTCAAACTTCTACACTAATATAATTACTCTTTCACCATGAAATCATACAACATTCATTTAACTCTGTGTTGAGGGAGTCTATATTTTGAATACAATTTAAAAGATCAGTAGAAGAACTGTGGGCAACAAAAGCCTTCTACTTACAAAAAATTCTGTTTGTAGAAAATGCAATGCTGTCTGACAGTCTGAATGATTGTTTAAAAAAAATACAGACCACTGACATTAAAAGGTGAAAAACTACATCAAGTGTGATGAATAACCTGAATAACGTTTAAGGTACTCAGAGCTAAGTATCACCCTGTATCTCTCGTAAAGGACACCAGCCTGGTAGCAAAGAACTGTGATGTCATCCGAAACCCTCATGTTCCCTTGACCGTTGCAAAATAGCTTTAACTTTGGAAATATTACAATACGCAAGAACATTTCTTGATACTCATTTAAAACCAGAGACCTTCCTGCCTCTTGAACAACTTCTAAGGAGCCAAAAGATATTTAATAAATGCCTTGTTAGGCACAAGATGACTGTAAGTATAGATTCATCATTGACCTATTTATATTAGCATTATAACATAAGATTATGATTACACTAGCTTAATTAATGCCCCCCTTGCTCATGTAAATAATAGACCCATTCAAAGTAAGCTTTCTAAACTACTTCAGGTAGTTTATAATACTTGTATCAACAAGTAACAACGTAATTAATGGATGATGAGGAAAAAAGCATTTTTGCAGACTGCTGTTAATTAATGCTTTGGGGGCACTAAAAGGTCCCAGAAGTTAAACAGCACTAACCAGTCAATTAGAGAAATAATGACTTGTGAGAGGCTATACATGTTTTTCAAACAAACTAATATTTTCCACAGCTTGCTTAAATAGTTCTGGGAGTTCTGTACTCCAGAAGTGTCAGATCTGGTGACTTGACTTGAGGATGAGGGCAGGAAAGAACCCAATGAAAAAAATGACCCATGCAACACTTCCCTAAGGATATCATTTACTTGCTCTGTAACAGAGATGAACATTTATTTAGAAGAAAGACAAACCTGGCAGAGGTTTTTTCAGGATATAAAACTGTACTGTACACTTCAAATTCTACTTTTATTCTTATCTAAATCTTGCTATAGAGAATCATCATATTCAACAGAGAATCAGTATGCTTGCCCCAGGCAAAACCTGAACAATCCCTTCTCTTTGATCTTTTCAATGTTTCTAATAACTGGTGTCTGAATCTCCACTCTCAGAATGCTGAAAGGACGGTCTCACAGCAAAATTATGACTGCCTCACAAGGATAATCAGCCGGTTGTGGACCCAAACTAGAGATAGATGAGACACATTTTGAGACTAGCTTTCACAGACACTTGGAAGAAGGAAGGAATTTTTTCTTGGTCAAACTAACATGGAACTTGAAGGATTTCTGCCTCCTCCTCAAACATTCGGAGACTTTTAAAATAATCTGTTGGCATTATCTGAGAATTTACCAACTACTGGATTGCCTGCCATTACAGGGACCGCTAACTATTAGCAACCCCATTTCATCTGTTCTTCTGTTGAGGTTCAGGAATCCCGGGGTCCTTTCCAAGTTCTGGAGGGGATTATGTTCTCTCATTATAAAGCCTTCTGCCCATGTCTCCTGCAGTCTATCACTGGTTTTTATTTCTATGCCAGGAGCTCCTGTCTTTGACACCCACATTACCATCTGACCCTCTTGTCTCCTAATCCTCCAGAGTCCTAAATTCCCTTTGTCCAAGGTTTCTGCTCCTTACCCAATGGCTTATAGTGATTTCTCTTTCTCCTCCTCTACTATGTGAAACTGAGTATAAAGGAAAGAAGCCTGTCAGAAATGAAGCACACCTTATGAAATGAAGCACACCTTATGAAAGGAGACTGTGGATATTGTGTTCCAAAGGGGTAGAAGTTTTAGCCCAGGACTGGAAGTAGAAAGGCCTGGAGCCATTAGATCTGGTTCATGGAAGTGGGAAGGATTCAGCAGTGTGTTGGCAGCACCAAGCTTTGCCTTCACTTTGGCTCAGCAATAAGGAGCTGCTCAAGGGCTGGGCAGTGGGAAGCTGCACCTGCATTGGTACTGGGGAGCAGGGAGAAACAGCAGAAGCTAGGTTGGAAGACCGGCCTTCTCTGGACTCGAGCTAGGATGCTCTGGACCACAGCTCCAAAACATTTCCAGATACAGTTTTATAAGATAGTTGTTCAGGGCCCCAGAGGCCAGGAACTCAAAATAAGTGGCAGGCATTAGTTTACCCTCTGCTATTACCCTGTGAAGGAACTTTATTTTGCAGCAGTGTTTAAGAGCTGACAAACAGTCTTTTGGTTAATCAAAGAAAAAACATTTAAAATAATCTGTAATTACAAAGAAATTACCCTGAAATTGTGTATATGTGTGTGTGTGTGTGTGTATATGTTGAAATAAAAATATATTTACCATGGTGGATAATACCATTGTCTAGTAAAGCTTGGCCAAGATGTACACCTTCTTCAGCTTTGTGTATCTCTCCAGTTTCCAATAACCAGGACACAAACTCACTAGATTAAAAAAAAAAATCTTTAATGTTTTTAATTTTTCAGTTCATTTCTATGTAACATCACATATTGTTTTTCTCACGGGTGCCAATGTGCAGTATTTATATTTATACAATATTTTCCAAAATATTCTGCATAAAATATTTCTATCAAGTTTTCAGTTTCCACTTGTATATATTATTATAGGAAATAATGATAGTACTGCATATTACTCAGGCTGCCCAACACCTCCTGTTAGAAGGCTTTCAAGTTGCATGTAACTTTCCCAAGCTCCTACAGTTAGGTGGAATTACTTGAAATTTGGCACAGGTTTTGTTCAAGAAGGTACTTTTCACCATAAGTGTGAAAATCTGACCAGATTATAGATCTTTGTACATGCTCTGTAAAGATTTGCAGTTAAGAATGCCATCTGCATTGAGCGTGATTCAGCTGGGGCTGCTCTATAGGAGCTGAACAGGAATTTCTTTGCAGGTCCATCTTTTGGCTGGTGTGGGCTATTCCAAGTCCAGGCACCATAAGATAGCGCTACGGTGCAGCCAAATATAATAGACAAGAAGCTGTCTTATTTGAAGGCAAAGAGGAATACAGAGAGCCACAGGAAAGGAGGAGAGAGTAAGGGTTTGGAAGCATATGGGGGAAGTACAAAAAAAGGAACTAGCACTGGAAGCTGAGGGTCATACTGGGACTGGCTGGACAAGAAAATTAACTGGAGGGGAGGGGAGATGAAAAGGTCTGAATTAATATGGAATCAAGTCAATGAGAATGCAGGATGTGGGTGGATGGAGCAAGGGCACAAGATTGGACATAAAGCCCAGGGAAACAGTTAAGGAATGAGGTCCAGCAGGGATGGACAACAGGAGCATGACTGGAGGCAACTGGAGATCAGGGATGTGTGAGGGGAAAGACAGACTGGACAAGCAGGTAAGACAGGGAGACTAGAGCTGGGTGGGAAATAACACTGGGAACAGGAATTCAGGATTGAGGGAAGAAACAGCAGAGATGGAAAGTCTGAGGATTAGGGATTGGAAATGGCTACAGGAGAAAAATGGTACTGGATGAGTGACACGATAAGTTAGGAACAAGGCACAGACAGGCTATAGGATGAACCTGCCTCAAGCAAGAGATTGGATTAAATGACATCTTGAGGTCCCTTTCAGCTCAACTTTTCTATGGTGCTATAAATAGAATCTGGCCCATGGAATGCTATATGATGTTAAATACTCTAGAAAAGTATGGCCTAGAAGTATCCATTAATTTTTCATGCCTAATTTAATGTTGATCTTTCAGTGCTCAATTGCTCATCCATGAAATTGAGATAATACTTCAATTCACTTCATAGGATTGTTGTGAAAATAATGTTTGAATAACAGAGATGTTACAGGAATAAGCATTATAGAAAAGAATGGAAGTAAATTAATAATTCTGTCTTCAAAACAGGTTGAATAGTATGCAGTTAAATAAAAAGACACAATACCATACATTGAACATAAATAGAAAATATGTATTAAAAATTGCTCTTTAAAAGAGTACCATTCAATTTGTGCACCAAGTGAAACAGGTGTGCTGTAGAAAGGATAGCATGTGATTTTGAATTAAAGACCAGTTTGTTTGAGGAACATGTATAGCCTCTCACAGGTCATTATTTCTCTAATTCATAATGCACAATATAATGCATTGTAAGGTACTGGCAACCATCATTCTAGTATTTTATAAATTTTGGCTTCTTCACTTTTCAACCTTAATAATATTTGTTTAAGGTAATGTTGTGTGTCGCAGAGCACTTAGGTGCCCTGCTCCTAAGAGTAGAAAAAACTGCTAGGGGAAGAGCCCTAGCAGTGAGTGAGGAGCCGAGCTGCTGGTTGCCAGGGCAACTTCAATGAGCTTAGGAGACTAGTGGGGGAGGCACTAAGGGCCCAGAAGGTAGAGGAGATGGGAGTCCACGAGGGATGGTCGTACCTTAAAGGAGCGATCCTCCAGGCCCAAAGGATAACAGTCCCTGAGAGAAGCAAGGGGGGTAAGAGTGCTCAGAAACCCCCTTGGCTCAGCAAGGGCATTCAGCAATGCCTGAGGACTAAAATGGGGGCGTACAACCAGGAGAAGGGAGGAGCTATCACCAAGGAGAAGTACTCCTCCTCAGCCTGGGAGTGTAGGAGGGCTATTAGGAAGGCCAAGGCAGAGATGGAACACAGGCTAGCGTCCAGGATTAAGGACAACAAAAAGTCGTTTTTCAAGTACATTGGGAGCAAGAAGAGGGTACCAGGCAATGTAGGGCACCTACAAGACACAAACAGTAATCTGGTGGCCACACCAGACAAAAAAGCTGATATTTTTAACAGTTTCTTTGCCTCTGTTTTCGAATAGGGACTGGGACATCTCACCTACCAGAAGTAGGGACAATTTTGGGGATAGCTCTATCAGGCCGTCAGTCAGCGCAGATGTAGTTAGGGATCTTCTGGAAGGGCTAGACATTTT